ACCAGAGCTCCTAAATGTTATAGAAAAACAACATAAAAGAAATGTATTTGCCAGGAGGATTTAACAAATATTAACATTTTGCTATTGCTTTTTTTTTTTTTTTAAATCATGTACTTCAGAAGCTTCATCCCTCTAAGAGCTTGAATTTGATCTGTATTATTTTCATGCATCATAAAAAATAAAAAATACACGGAGTGGTTTTGTACTTTTTAAAATTTGCATATTATACTGTTTTTAATTCTTCTTCTTCTTTAACCCTCCCTGGGAAGTCTGAGCTGTGTAAGATGTTTCCCAGTGGAAAAATACAGGACTAAAACTTAGGTTTCCTAGCTGCTAAGTCAAACCTCCCTCCCTTTGCCTGGGTCATAAATAAGGTTTTAACATTCAAATCCTAAAGTCATTTGAATAAATGTCATGAAGCAACTTCTACCAATACAGCTATTAACTCCTGGTTGAAATTACTTTATCAGGATTCTTTTCACGATGGAGTTTCATGTACAGCTGCTTGCACCAAGTATAGGGTTCCATCAGCTGTAACATGCTGAGAGAGAAGTGCACTTACTTACATTTCATCACTTTCCAAAAATATACACTTGTAAATGGATATAGGGACTAAAGGCTCTGAAAAAGAACAAAACAGTTTTTTCCAAGAGCAATAGGAAATTATTAATTCGCTTGCTGGTTCTATATACTCTTACCATCCATGGCTTCTGTTCCAACTTGTTGGGTAATAGCAAAAGCTTCCCAAGGACAAGATTAACAAGAGATGGTGTAAAAGATATACAACTGATGGATTGCTGAGTGGACAAGAAGCCAAGAAGTTGTGAACCAACCACTGACTCAGCACATTAGTTGGGTGTATTGCTTACTTGAGCGTGAGTCCTGGAGGCTCAAACTAGATTACAAAACTGTAAAGTGATTCACAAGTTAGCAATCCATTTGGCCAACTGTTGCATGCAAAAATGATCCAGAAAACATAGTACACTTATTTTACTCTTTGCTGATAATTTTTGGTTAAAAAATGTTTTAATAATATTGCTCAGAATAATATAGAAGGAAAATAAGATTTGCTGACATTTTACATGGTTTTTAGACAGCCGATTGAAGAGTTAACTGCATAAAAATCTGGCATAGTTGTTTTAGTACATCTTTGATGTTATGTGCCGTGGAGTGGGACCCGACTCATAGCAACCCCTCCTTGGGTTTCTGAGGCGGTATCACTACAGAAGTAGATTGCCCCATCTTCCTTCTGAGGAGTGGCTGGTGGGTTTGAAC